GCAGATCATGACTGAGAGATTCCCAAAAAAGTGGAAATGTAAACCATGTTACTGTCTCCTAGAAACAGACAGTTCAGCAGTTGGAATTCCTAAATTTTTTATTCCAGTAAAGAAAGAGGGCCTTTAAAAAATAATAATAATAAATAACCATTAAAAACTGGGGATGAGGACAATGTACAGGAAATTTTAGACACCATTAAGTGGCCAAATATCCACATAATAGGTATTCCAGGAGGCAAAGAGATAGACAAATCCATTTAAAAAATCTCTTTCATGCAATACTATCTGAAAACTTTCTAAATCTAGAGACATAAGAAGACATCCAGATCCAGGAAATACAAAGGACACCGAATATTGGGTCGTCAGAAAAGTCATGACATATTTTTGCATGGAAAAACACGTCCTGACTTTTTCAACACCTAACAGACTCAACATAAGTGGATCCTCTCCAAGGCACATCATTGCCAAAATGGCCAAAATGGCAAAAGACAGAGACAAAGATAATATTCTAAAAATGGCAAGTCTGAGAAGCAGGTGGCATGAGGGTTAAGGTGTTGGATTCCCACATGGCTGACTACAATCTGAGTTCTGAACCGGGCAGCTTGAAAATCATACTGGATACATGTGTGTGCTTGCCCACAATCCTGAGAGGAGAAGGGATTGCATGTGGCCTTTCTCTGGAGAGTGCACGTACCCTATGACAAAAACTTAAACATAATTGTTCATAAAGAGCCACTTATGACAAACCCATCATACTAAATGGGGAAAAGTTGAAAGTTTTCCCACTAAAAATTGAAACAAGATGAGGATGTTCACTTTCTTTACTCCTTTGTTTTTAAAAGATTTATTGATTGATTGATTGATTGATTGATTTTTGCTATAGGGCATGTGTGCTCTCCAGAGAGACAGAGAGAGTAAGAGACAGAAAGCAAGACATCACCCCCTCTCCCCCAGGGAGGATGGCCATGCCTCAATCCCTTCTCCTCCATTCTCCTCTCAGGATCTTGGGCACACACGCACATGTGCCCAGCATGAGTTTAAGCCACCGGGTCCGGGATTCGAACTGCAGTCAACTACATGGGAGTCCAGCGACATAGCCATTATGCCAACTGTTGGTCCCAAGAATGATTTATTTATTTAACTCCATTTCTTGTTATTATTATTTTTTTAATTTGACCAGAGAGAGACAGAGAAAGAAAGGGAAAGTGAAAAAGCAAGCCACCAGGCCCAGGACTCAAACCATGGCTGGCCATGTCAGTATCCAGCACCTTAACTACCATGCCACCTGCCAGCCCCTTCAATATAGTATTTGAAGTGCTAACCAATGCAATCAGATAAGAGAGTGAAACAAGAGGCATTCAAATAGGAAAGAAAAAAATTAAATTGTCCCTATTTGCAGATATGATTATATACACATAGAAAATCTAAAAGAATCCATGAAAAATTCCTTGAAGTAATAAATGAATTCAGTAATGTCACAGGATACAAAAATCGATATACAGAAAATTCTATATGCCAACAATGAATGAGCTGAGGTAGAACTGATGAAAGCAATCCCATTTACGATAACCACCAAAAAAATAAACAAACAAAAAACACCCTACAAATAAATGTAACTGAAGAGGCAAAAGACCTATACAAGAAAAGCTAAAATAACGAAGAAAGAAATTGAAAATCATTCCAAAAAACTAGAAAGACATCCCTCATTCTTAGATTGGTAGAATACAATTAAAATGTTAATTCTACCCAAATTTATTTACAAATTCAATGCAATTCCTATCAAATTACCAGTGACATTCTTCATAGAAACATAAAAAGCAATCATAAAATTTGTCTGGAATCATAAAAGACTCCATATCATCTAGGCCATACAGTGCAAAAAGAATGAAGTTGGAAGCATCTCACTACTCAACCTCAAAAAATATTACAAAGCTGTGATAATCAAAACAGTAAGGTACTGGCACAAAAACAAAGAGACTGATGGAATACATAATCCTGAAATAAATCCAAAAACATTGAGCCAACTGATTTTTGACAAAGAACACAGACAATTCAGTGGAGGAAAAAATAATTATTTTTAGCAAATGGTGCTGGGAAAACTAGGTATCTGACTGCAGAAAAATGAACTAGACCCTCTCTCACCATTAACAAAAGTCAAGTCAAAATGGATGAAAGATCTGAATGTAAAGCCTCAAACTATCATACTACCTGGAAAACACAGGGGAAACACTTTGAGACATTAGAAAAGACTCCTAATCCCCTATTTTGAGACGGTGGGTAACAAGTCCAAAAACAGACAGGTGGGATTACATCACACTAAAAAGCTTTTGCATAGCAAAGGAAACAAAGAGACAGCCAACAGTATGAAATAAAATATTTATAAACTAAATTTCAGGTAAGGGATTAATAATTGGAATACATAAATTTAAGCAGTTTATCTCCAAAAAAAGTAATTCCATTAAATGGGCACTTGATCTGAGTAGACAGCTCTCAAAGGAAGACATAAGAATGCCCAAAGAGTGTATGAAAAAATGTAATCTCTTATCATAAGTGAACTGTAAATCAAAACCACAATGAGCTATCACCTAACCCCTGTAAGAATGCCTATGATTAAAAAAAAAAAAAAAAAAAGGAACAACAACAACAAATGCTGTCAAGATGCAGGAACACTCCTTTACGGTTAATACGACTGTAAATTAGTATAGCCATCATGGAAAACAATACGGAGATTCCTCAAAAATTTACAAATACAATACCATATGACCCATGTGTAATCCCACTCCTGGGTATTTACCCAAAAGACAGGAAATCACTCAGAAAGACATGTGCACATTCAATTTTATCTCCCATTATTTAAACAGCTTAGACATGGAATCACCCTAAGTGTCTAACAACTGATGACTGAATTAAAAATGTGGCATATATACACAATGGGATACTACTGAGTCATAAACAACAATAAGATCCTGTCATTTGATAAAAAGTGGTCGAATTTGGAAGGTGTAATGCTAAGTGAAATAGACTATGAAAGACAAATACTATATGCCCTTGTTCAATATATACCAAATGGAAACAAAGTAGAGAAGACAACTATAGATACCAGAACAGAGGGGGTGATGAGGATAGGAGAAGGGCAGGATAAAAAGTGTTTAATAGAAACAGGAACGAAGGTAGGTACTGTAAATGGGTTGTAGAACAGCATACCAAGGGGGGGGGGGGGGGGGGAAACAGACACTGCTGACCTTATGTATATCTCAAACGTGGTGTTTGGGGACCAGCAGTTGGGGTGTTGGCTATGTCATTGGACTCCCATGTAGCCAACTGCAGTTTGAGTTCCGGACCTGGTGGCTTGAAAAAAAGCGCAAAAAAAAAAAAAAAAACACACCAGGTGCGTGTGTGTGCGTACCCATGATCCCAAGAGGATAATGGAGGAGAAGGGACTGCGGCATGGCCAACCCCTCGGGGAATGATTTCTCGCTTTCTGTCTCTCTGTCTCTGTCTGTCTGTCTGGTGAGCAGACGTGCCCTACAGCAAAAACCTCACCAAAAAAAAAAAAAAGAAAGTCCAAAAGTATAGGCTATAATTAGTTTTCTTTTTTTTTTATTTTTGTCATGTTTTGTTTTCAGTTTTTTTGCTCTAGAGCATGTGCTCTCACCAGAGAGAAACAGACAGAGAGGGTGGGAAAGAGAAATCTCTCTCCAGTGGGATGGCCATGCCACAATCCCTCCTCTATCCTATTCTTGGGATTTGGGGCACACACGCCCACATGTCCAATGTGTTTTCAAGGCACTGAGATTCAAGCCACACAGCCAGTCATGTGGAATCCAGCTGCCTTAACCTCCACCACCACGTGCTAGGACCCTCTGTTGAGTTTTTTAAATTAGTATATCATTAAGTTAATAGATTAAAAGGAAAAACTGACACTTTTATGATGTTGAATCTTCCTAGCTGGTATGTTCAGAAAACGGTCTATCCCCAAATTTTCATGTTCTGAATTAATTTTAAAACAATAATTTTTTTTAATTTATTTATTTTATAGATATATAAGCATATTAGAGAAAGCAAAAGAATGACAGACAATTTTATCTGATATTCTCACCTGAGCTAAAAAAAATTTAAAAATAGAGACCAGCAAATGATGTAACAGTTATCACTGGACTCCTACGTAGTCAACAACAGTTCAAGTCCCAGACTCGGCAGTTTAAAACTCATGCTGGGCGCGTGTGCGTGTGTGCCCAAGATCCCGAGAGGAGAATGGAGAAGAAGGACTGCAGTGTGGCCATCCCCCCGGGGGGTGATTTCTCACTTTCTGTCTCTCTGTCTCTGTCTCGCTGGCATGCATATGCGCCCTATAGCAAAAATCTCTCTTAAAAATAAATAAATACTTATTTATTTTTATTTATTTATTTATTTTAAAAATCAAGCCCACAGATTCTTAAGACCAACTTTCCATTAAAAACCACTACTGGTGGAGAACCAGGCGGGGGTAGGGGGTGAAGCACGGCTACCCCAGCATGTCAAGGCCAGAGGCAGCCCTTGCGATGGACGTGTGTCATGACTCGGAGCCAAAGGACTACCATCTTCACAGACCCCAAGGAGTTGAGCACTGTGCTCAAGCTGAAGTGCATCCTCAAGAGGCTGCCCAACAAACAGCGGCTGTACAAGGATGACCAACTCCTGGATGATGGCAAGACACTAGGCGAGTGCAGCTTTACCAGCTAGATGGCACAGCCACAGTTTTCCGTGCAAATGACACCTCTGAAGCCCTCCGCATCGAGCCCTTCTCCAGCCCCAGACCTGCCCAGGACTAAGGAAACAGCACCAACGAACAAGCTGTACAGTGAGCCCCTGGCCTGTCCTCCAAAAGCCCACTCTCCCCAGTAAAAAAGATCTGGGTGTTAAAACAACAACAACAAAATCACTACTGGTTTTTAGCTCCAAGGCATATAGCACTCAACGTGCAGAGCAGAGAATCTGAAGAAAACCCAGGCCTCACTCACATCAGTCTGCAGATGTGCAGGAGCCTCTGAGTTGTCGTTGATCCTCCGAACGCTGTCATAGTGCTCGCCATACCTGTATGCGATGTGTAACTCCCTCCCGTTACTTTTATCTGTACCGCGAATCTGCAAACAAGAGAGGAGATGCCAGTGAAGATTTGGACAGTGTTAGTTTCTGGTGAGAAATACCCACCAGGATTGCATAGGCTCTGTACAGACATAAACCTGGACTATGACTAGGATACGTCATAAACAATTTCTATATTACCTCCTTCCCACCCTGTAGACATCAATGTGCTTAGTCTGTAACAATATGGAAATAAATCTGTATGAAAACATATTTAAAAACCACAGGCAGATTGAAGTTAAATAAGCTTAAATTTCTGCATCTTTCATACCTCCAACCCCCTCAAATGCATAGTTTATTTCGAGAAGGAAGGCTAAGGGCAGATCCAGATTTGTTGAACTTGAAGCTGAAACAATTGGGAGCCCTCTTTAAGAAAAAGAAAAAATAAATAAAAAAATATAAAACTAGTAGAACCTTTGCCAAGACCTTGAAAGGGAGCCATGCACATAAGGGGCTTGATGCTTATGCTTCATTAGCTTCAAGGTAAATCCATCCTTGTCATTAAAACAAAAATAGCATTTCCCATCAAATTCCACATAGCAAGGAACATTATCAACAGCAAACCCAAATCTCCCATATACATCAATTTCAAAACAAAATCAAATACTACCTTGCTGCACCACCTGGAAGGCACCACTCACACTTTCTAGGTAAAGAGCACCCCCTGGAGCACAACACAAGAACACAGTGCCTGGAATCAAGCAACACAGAGTTCTAAGGTCTGCCGTCTGCCTAGAAGCTCTAACATAATTCCAACACTAGTCCTTAGAAACCCCAGTAACTGTCTGGGACCAGCAGATGGCAAAGTGGTAACGTCACTGGACTCCCACATAGTCGACTACAGATCAAATCCCAGACCCAATGACTTAAAACCCATGCTAGGTACATGTGTGCACCTTCCCCAAATCTGAGAAAGCAATGGAGGAGAAGGGACTGCAGCTTGGCCATCCCCCCTGGGGAGTGATTTCTCACTTTCTGTCTCCCACTGGCAAGCCCTCTTGCCCTATCACAAAAATCTCTCCCACCCCACCCCCCAAAAAGAAAAGAAATCTCAGTAACTATCTCTGTTAAAACTCTAAAACATCAGCACCACCTCCTTGTTTTTACAGAAAGTTGCAGGTAGTAAGACACTACTGTTAAACAGTTATCTGTGGTCTAAAAACACAGCCAAAGTCATGGGACAAACAGGAACACAGTCTCAACACTGGAACTGTGAGAGGTCTCAAAAGTGCAGAATCTGGTTTGTCTGCATAAAAAATAGAGATAGTACCATTTGTCTCCCAAGGAAGAGGGCTGGGGAAAGAAAGAGTTTATTAGCATCTTTGAAAGACAATCCCTAAAGCATTTACAGACTCAGTTATAACATGTACACATTATGAATAGAAAGACAGAACTAAAGGACTAGTCACTTATTAACTGTGATTTTCATAAAGAGATTATGAGCACCTTCACTTTCTACCAAACTCATCTAGATCATGCATAAGAGTAACAACATACACAAACATAGGTTTCAGTATCTCCACACTGTGAGTATAAATAAGCCTACTGATAATTAATGAATGAGTTCTCACCCATTATAGTAGCAACCAATGCCATTTCGTTTCCTTTTTTTTAAGATTTTTGCTATAGGGCATATGCACTCGCCAGAGAAACAGAAAATGAGAAACCCCCCCCCTCCCGGGGGGGGATGGCCACACCGCAATCCCTTCTCCTCCATTCTCCTCTCGGGATGTTGGACATGCATGCATACACACCCAGCATGAGTTTTAAGCTACAAGGTCTGGAATTTGAACTACAGCCCCATGTGGGAGTCCAGTGACGTAACCATTACACCATTTGCTGGTCCCGCCATTTCAATTCTTAAATTTTATAAGAAGCTTTACTGGAATGGGAGGACATGGGGGAATAATGGAAATAAAGTGATTACTTTAAAAATATATACTTTCAATGTTCAGCAATTCATAAAAGAGAACACTGCAGAAATAAATCTGAAAAAAAAAATTAACTATGGGGTGATCTTCTACAACTTTCTGGTAATTAAGAAACTTAAAAAAAAAAAAAAACAGAAACAGTTTTTAAGGGGCCAGCAGGTGGCATGGTAGTTAAGGTACTAGATTACTACATGGCCAACCATGGTTCAAGCCCTGGACTTGGCAGCTTGAAAATCACAAAAAATAAATAGATAAATAAATAAACAAAAGGTTTTTTTTTTTTTTTTGATACTCTAGTATAGAATAAAGGAAAGAATCTATTTTAAAAAGAAAAAAGTTTTTAATAAAGAAAAAGGCAGGCTATGGTTACTGAGCTGGCCCTTAGTATTTTCCTTCAAGATGAGGGTCATTACGCTATATATTCAAATCATTTTGATGACTTCTGCTAAACAATGTATTGAATAAGTTTAATGACAAAACATTGGCACAAACAGCTAACCAATATTCTTGACTCAAGGATCCTTAGAAAGAGAGCACCACTAAAAATATGATAGCTCTCTCTAGTGTACCTGGCAACACTGCACCAAAGAACACACAAAGATACTGTTTCACCCTGCTCATTATACCCTGTAAGTGAAAAGTCCTCACCAACCCACAGAGTAGCTAATCTACTATTTTGTTGTAATTTTGTTAAAAAGACACTGTGTCAGACACATGACTGCATATTCCCACTTATATCACATTCTGGAAATGCAAAACTGGACAGACAAATCACACGGTGGTTATGAGAGACTGGGAAGGGGACTAGAGACTGCAAAGGGCAGGAGGTAACTTTTGTAGCAGTGGGACTCTTCTGCATGTTGACAGAGGTGGTCACGAGATGGTGACAGCAGAACTACACACCTGAAAAGGGTGAATTCTGCTATATGTAAATAATCTGTAGGAAAAAGTATGTAGAACTTTTTTTTTTTTTAATAAGCATAGGCTATGACTAAGCAATTTACAAGGTAGTAGACGCAGGTAACTTATGAAAAAAGGGCACTGTTTCCTTTATGATAATAACATATATGGATTTATAGATGTGTTTAAAATTTGTGTAAAAATATTTGGATATGTATCTTTCCATTAAGTAGGAAAGGGGTTTTTTTTTGTTGTTGTTTTATTTAACTTTATTCATTCATTTATTTATTTCAATTTGACCAGAGAGGGATAGAGTGAGAGAGAGCGAGAAACCAAGCCGCCAAGTCCGGGACTCGAACCACAGTTGGCCATGTAGGAGTCCAGCACCCTTAACCACCAAGCCACCTGCCGGCCCCAAGTAGGAAAGTTTTTATAGTTCAGTGTGTGTGTGAATGCAAGGACCCACATTAAAATATTAACAACAATAAACTCTGGCTAGTGTGACCCTGGATTATTTCTATTTGCCTTGTGCTTTTCTGAACTTTTGCATTTTTCTACAATTGACATGTTTCAACTTCCTAATTTAAAAAAGTTAGAAGTGGGAGATCAGTGAGACAAGTAGGGAGGTGGGGGGCAGTGCTGATAGAAATTGCACTCCCAGCTGTTAGGAGCTGAGCTACGAAGTGAGAAGGAGCCTTTTGAATTCAAGGGGAAAAGGTAAGGGGCCAGCAGCCTGTATATACTTTCAGCACAAACTTTGATCTTCTATACTCCAGAATGTTTGGTTTGCTGGAATATTTGGAAGATTAGGTTAATTTAGGACGGTAAAGGTAGGAAAGGTTAAAGGTCAAACGCACAGCTAAGTCATGGTAGGAGGTGGTGGGGCCAGGGTGGGAAGACTATAACATAAACTTAACATTTGCTGTAAAATCTTATCTGCTGTAGAAAAACCAGTGAAACTGTTATGTATTACTGAGCAGAACATAGCAGAGCTTGACATACTAGGCCATAAAATAAATTTCATTGCTCAAAACATACTTCTTAGCAATGGTTATTACAATAAAGTTGTCTGTTTCCCTCCACCTGAAAATCACAAAAATAGGACTGATTCTGTGGCACAGCATAATGTGCTGTCCAGAAGAAGCTGGGCAGTGGCAGTTCAAATCCCCAGCCCGGTCAGCCTGAACCATGACAGGCATATCACCAGGGCCCAAGATGCAAAGGTCTGAAGGACTAGAGAAGGGAATGCAGCAAGACTGGACCCTGTCAGGGGCGTTCCTCTGTCTCACTCTCACTGGGCAAGCATACAGTTGAGCACAAAAGAAGAAAAAAATTCATTGTGAAAAGCACAAAAACACCTGGGGGTGGGGTGGGGGGGCGATGTGGCACAGTGGTTATGCAGCTAGACTCACATGGGAAAGGGCCTAGGTTTGCATTCCAGGAATTTCCTGGGCACATTGGACATGCCCATTATCCAGGCCAGCTGAGACAGGGGTAGAACACAGCATGAAGACCTTTAGGGCTGCCTCTCTCTCTTTCTCAGGACAAATAAATAAACTTATATTTAAAAAATAATAATAATAGTAAAACATGGGAATGGGCTTACTTCAAAACTAGCATTTATATACACTAATCCTTTAAATTCTCACTTAAATATTTTTATAGAATTATCTAAAGTATTTCCACATTGGCTCTCTCCCGAAATTATCCAATTAACTGACTACTGAATAATATTTAAAGCATTTTAAAAGATTTCTGAATTACTCTCCAGACTCCATATGAAGACTGCACAGGGATTCATTCTAAGCCATCATGAGATTCGGGTCTTTGGCTAGGTTTGCAGTCCAAGTAATTGCACAGTTCAAGCCCCATCATCTTAGGATAGTCCTAAAGCTAATTTATAAGTAAGAGCTTAAGATAAATCCTTGAACAGGTGACCTACCTGCCACAAAGGGGCATTAAGTTGATGAATCACCACATTCAATTGATGATTTCTTGCAAAGGCTACAATTGCATCATTGCCCGCAAAAGTACCAGGCTTTGCCAAACTGGCCACTGCATGGAAACAGGAAAGAAACGTGAAGTCTTTATAAATGAAAAATCCAAATGCAAACATGTTTTGGTATTTATTTAGTTCTAAAAAATGAGGGACAAAAGCATACATCTGAAAAGTCCATTAGCTTTGGTTAGAGTCTAAGAATTTAGCTGGTTGAACAATACACAGATTGCTACTTAGAAAGATGTTTACTACTTATAAAGAAAAGATCCATTTGTTTATTCCTGCAATAAATATTTACTGAGTAGTTCCTTTATGTCTAACTGCATAAAAGACACCGGCAATGTAATGATACAGAGTCGTCATAAAAGTCTGCAATAATGAAGGCTTACTCTGTAAGTTTCAAGCACTATTCTAATCACTTTTCATAGAGTATCACTTTCACTCCTCAAGACAATCCTCTGAACAAGCAGTGTTATGTATGCCTTAGTGATGAGAAAAGTGATGAGCAGAATATTTAATAAGTGTGCCCAAGATCAGAGTCAGTACACAGCAAAACTGAAACTTCACCCAGAGAGCCTGACTCCAAGGCTCGGGCTCTGATGCACTCCATCAAGGAGTTCACGACTTCAAGGGAGAGGGAATAAGACAGGCACTACTGATGCCTAAGTGCTTTGGAAGGGGACGTATAGTAATGAACTTGCCCAAAGGACTTCTGGCCTTTATCCCACGGTCCTGGGAGGTAATTTCTAAATCTGTTCTTTCTAAAGGTGACAGGACCGTTTCTGTTATTCATGATGGGCCTCTCAACCACACCTGACGTCATTCCATGATATCACCCATGTGATATCAGCCTGTTACCGCTTACACAAGCAATCAATAAGCCAAAAAGAACTCTGGACACCGAAGTTGAGGTGAGCATCCTGGCTGACAATACTTTGTACACAGATAATACCCACTGAGAACAACAGAAGCTTTATGTTCACATCTAAAGTGACCACATGGCAAGTGAGGGTTTCAGATCCTTCAATCTTCAGGTATGACTCAACCCCCAAGATCGCTTCTCTCTCTCCACCCGAAACTACTGCATGACCGTCACCGAACATATCCAAGATGGCATTCGGATCACAAACTAAAAACGCATTTCATCCAAAATTATTATTTTTTTTCTTTGCAGAGATTTTTGCTATAGGGCACATGCATTCACCAGAAAGAGACAGAGAGTGAGAAAGTAAGAAATCACTCCCAAGGGGGGGGGGGCCCACACCACAATCCCTTCTCCTCCATTCTCTCAGGATTTGGGGCATGTACATACTCGCTCCCGGCATGAGTTTCAAGCAACCAGGTCCAGGACTCAAACCACAGTCAGCCACGTGGGACAATGCCTCAACCACCACACCACCTGCTGGCCCACCGAATTTTAATTGGGCCAGTAACACTATTCATTTCATATAGCAACCAAACTACAAAATTTTACCTATTTATATACATCTAATTTGTGAACTGTGGTCTGGTAAACTGTGTCTATCCGCTGGACAAAAAGTGATCCCAAGAAGAGGGGCCATCAAAGTTCGGTGACTGTTATAAACCACTCAACAGAAGCTTTGCTGCTGTTGAGTACCCAATGAAATCTTCCCTAGTGAGGAATGGAAAAGCCGTGGGGTCACTGACAGCTTTCCTCCCAGCCTCCTCTTCCTGCTACCCTCTACCTTGCTATCAGTACAGGCAGCAACCTCAGCATAACCCTGGTCTCCTCCCTTTACCCTCCTCACCTCCAGCGAGTCTGTCCATCACACTGCCAAACTGTCTCGGTTTGGGCACCTCACGACCCTCAGCAGCTGCACTGGTGGAGGCCCTTCTCTTCCCTTATCTGGCCAATGCGGACAGTCTTCTAACTAGTCTCCCTTCTCAGTCTTTCTTGCCACCCATTCTCAACATAACACCCAGAGTTAGCTCTATAAAACCCCGGGATGATTCCATCTCTTTCCTGATCAAAGACTATGAGCCTGGATGAAAATGCTATCTGTAAAACAAACATATCAGCACTTGGCGTAATAGATTTTCAGTAAATATTTGTTAAACCAAAATTTAAAAGCTCATTAGAGGAGGTTTCAAAAAGTTCATGAAAAATGAGTATTATGAAAAAAAAAAGCAATAATTTCATTTTTTTACCTACACCAAAATAAACTCATACTTTGGGGCTTGCAGATAGCATGGAGGTTAAGGTGCTGGACTCCCACATAGCCAACTATGGTTCAAGTCCCTGACCTGGCAGTCTGAAGATCGCACTGGATGCGTGCTCAAAAGCTCAAGAGGAGAATGGAGAAGAAAGGACTGCAGCATGGCCAACCCCCAGGGCAAGAGTGTCTTCTCACTTTCCCTCTCACTGTCTGTCTGTCTGTCTGTCTATCTGTCTCTCTCTCTCTCTGGTGAGCACATATGCCTCATGGCAAAAGCCTTAAAGAATTTTTTTTAATTAAAAAATAAACTCGTACTTTAACTCCATTTTCCATAAGCTTTCTGGAAAAAAGTATTTATTTTGTATGTATTTTCTTATTTGGTTTGTGCCGACTAAATACAAGTTATTAAAAACACTAACTGGGGGCCAGCAGGTGGTGCAGTGGTTGGGGGTGCTGGACTCCCACATGGCCAACCACAAGACCTGGCGGCTTACTTTCACGCACACAATGTCGCGGTTTGCTCTCTCTCTTTCTCTCTCTCTCTCTCTCTCTCTCTCTCTCTCTCCCCCCTCCACCCTTTTCGGGTCAAATTAAAATAAATAAATAAATAAATATAAAAATAAAAATCACTAACCGACTTATAAGTGTTGTGTTTGGGTTTGGGGTAAAAAGTTACCTAAACTGATGATTTCTTGGCTTATAAAAGTAATACATGGGGTCAGGAATATATGGATTCCACATAGCCACCTAGGATGTTCCAGTCCTGGATCTGGGGACTTGAGAAATACACCAGGCTATATGTGTGCATACCCAAAATCTCAAAAGGAGAGAGAGATGGAAGAGAAGGAATTGTGGTGTGATCATTCCCTATGGAGAGGTACTTTCTCATTTTTCCTCTGTCTTGAGAGAGAGAGCACTTACACTCTCTGACAAATTTTTGAAAATAATATAAGCATTTGAAAATCAGAAAAACTGGGGCCAGCAGATGGCATGGGAATTAAGATTCTGGACTTCCACATGGCTGATGTGGTTCGAATTCCGGACCTGGAGGCTTGCTTTCTCATCCCCCCCCCCACCCCATTCTCTCTCTGGTGAATTAAAATAATATTAATAATTATAATAATAAATAAAATTAAATATATAATTATTTTTTCAAAAAATCAGAAAAAAACTACAGAAAATCATTTAAAATATCCATAGTCCTACCCTTCCCAGGAAGCTAACATTTATTAACAGCTTCTTTTAATTTCATTATCTAACTTAATCTTCAAAAACCTCTGAGATAAGTGTTTCTTATCATCTCCCTTTCAGAAGTTTAAAGGAAGCAAGTGATTTTTGAAAAATAAATATAGTAAATATAAAAAGTTAGTATTTTCATGTATTTGTTCTACTATCTATGTGCATACACCTTTTTCCTTCTTTTTTTTTTTTTAAATTTACTCTAGTGTGGGACCAGCAGTTAGCGTAATGGCTATGTTGCTGGACTACCATGTAGTCGACCGCGGTTCATGTCCCGGACCTGGTGGCTTAAACTCACGCCAGGCGCGTGTGCGTGCGTGCCCAAGATCCTGAGAGGAGAATGGAGAAGGGATTGCGGCATGGCCATCCCCTCTGGGGGGTGATTTCTCGCTTTCTATCTCTATGTCTCTCTGTCTGTCTGGCGAGCACACACGCCCTATAGCAAAAACCTCTCCAAAAAAAAAAAAATGTTGCTCTAGGGTGCATATACTTGCCAGAGAGACACAGAGAGTGAGAAAGCAGTCCTTGGGGGGATGACCACAGCACCAGCCTGTCTCCTCCATTCTCCTGCTGGGAAAGCAGCCTTCTGGGGGATGACCACACCACCAGCCCATCTCTTCCATTCTCGTCTCGGGATCTTAGGTAGAGACACACACAGACCCAGTCTGTTTCTCGAGCTACCAGGTCTGAGCCTTGAAACACAGCTGGCCATGATGGATCCTGCTGCTCTAACCACCACAGCACTTGGGAGGCCCATTGTACACCTTTTGAGAAAATGGGAGCTGGTTCTGTGATATAGCAGTAATATGCTGCTCAAGAGAAGCTGGACTCCATGAAGTAACTGAGGTTGAATCCCCAGTCAGGTGGGCCTGAAACTTGCCAGGCAGGTGTGTGCACGTCCAAGATCCAACAGACCAGACGACTGGGGAAGGGAACGTGGGATGACCCAACTCTGTGGAGGGTATCCTCTCTCTCTTTCATGTGTGCACACACGTTCTCTAACATGAATAAAGGAAAAAAGTGTTTAAATATGGGAATCAATCTATACAACTATCTTATAGCCTGATTTTCCTATCCCACCAAATAAGAAATCATGGACCACTTTTCAGATCAATTAACATCATCATTGATCAAGGGCATACACATCTAAATCTACTGATTCCCAAACACCTAACATGCTGCCTATTACAGGTAGGCAAATAAATATTTGTCAAATAAATTAATGCCATAATTTATATACCAAACCCATCTGGGAGGGCAGAGGATGCCAATGGGCTTAATTACCCAACACATTATTCCTGAGGAATCCAGTGTCCCACGAGAACCTACCATGCTTCTCAAAAGGAATGTCATCTTCTACAAAGGGTTCAAAATCTTCCCGCTGCTTTATCATGTAGTCCACTGTCTCCTGCCGGTGCTTGAGATGATTTCGCGAGTGTCCCTCCAATTGATCACCAAGAGCTCTGAACAAGCAATTACTATCAAAACAAAAATGTTGGTCAAGGCCTTTCAAAAATGAACTTAGTTCATCTACAATAATGTTTCACGCCAGGCCATCCATGGAAATCTTTCATGCACAAAAGAGAAAGCCTCAACTCTTAACAGTACATGATTCTTCCCAAACCCTGGGTGAGAGCACTGAGGCAGACATGCAACCATATTACCCTCTTGAGAGGCAACAAACAAGGATTCCGTTCCCCCACTTAGCAGCTGGCTGACTCAGTAAAGTCATTACCTCCCTCGGCCTCAGCTGCTTCAACAAGTTTAAGTGATGACACACCAACTGCCTAAACAGGGTCCAGACATTACAGGCGATTCCATACCTAAGGGCTAGGGTCCCCAGATCCCCTTCCAAAGTGATGTCACGTTTACAGCATCTTTTCTGAAACAAGTTCCACCACAGTTGCCTGCCCAACTAATCATTCATTTAACAAAGAGCACCAACAACTGGTCAAGCACTCAGTACAAATAACTGAACTCTGCTTCAGTCCCAGGAACGTGGAGAAAGCCACAAAGAACGCACCTGAAGGGCCAACAACTGAACAATGAAAAGCCACTTTCTTCTGGCCTCCTCACCTGTCACCCAGGGAGCAACAATGCCACTGTTATTCCTGCCAAATGACAACTTTAAACACCAGGTTTTGTTTCCTACAATTGAGATGCTGGTAACAAACTGTAGGAGTTATCTTTACTTTCAAACCCCTTAAAAGCTCCTGTAATTCCTAACTACATCACACAGATGCCTAGATACACAGAGACTGAAACAACACAAACACAATCTGGTTTCCTTGAAACTAAGGAAATAAACCACTCCAAAGCCAAACAGTTGCCCAGTTTCACACCAAACTGTTCTTCCAAATGAAAATGTACAATACTCTAATTCCAAATATAAACAACTCACTTCAGAAGAATTTCAGGCCTAAATGTGTAGAAGAAAAAGATTTTTTAGTTTTCAATGCAAAAAAGTGAGTTATTTTTTACACTTTTTTGGGGGAGGTTATAGGGTATGTGCGCTCGCTGGAGCAAGAGAGAGAGGAGAGAGAGAAAAGTGAGAAATCGGGGGTGGGGTGGGGGTGGTCATGTTGCAAACCACCAGGTCCAGGACTCAAACTACACAGACAGCCTTGTGTGATCCAGCCACCTTAACCACCATGCCACCCGATGGCCCAGAGAAGTGAGTTTTCAATACTAAGTTAATAAAGTTCGGAATCTCTTCTAATGCAAAAAGGAATTGTACTTTTTTCCTCTTTTTACAGTGGGAAGGGAAAGTTTCAACAAGACAGAGTCTGTAAATTAGAAACCAAGAAGCTTTGCTTCTGTGACAACATTCTGTTAATACATGGGACTGGAATATAGATTTCTACAAACTAGAATAACATGCCTGTTGCTAAAATCTAACAATGGCAGTCTTTTTTCAACCACAGGGAATTTAAGAAGCTAATGGTAAAGCATTTCCAATTTTAAGCTTTTCCTCAAACTTTTCTATAATCTTTAGCATCTGCTACCACTAGTCTATTTAAAAGGTATGACTTAGCTCAAAATTGTGTATTTAGTTATTTTATGTTTAATGTCAAAATTCACAATATTCTACAGAGTAACATACTTGCTAACTATAGTAACAAGGGCAAACGTTCATCACATAAGCCAAAATAGTAAGTATAAAACCACATGTACTGCACAAGCTCAACCACATTCACGTGTGCTCTACACACCCAGGGAAGCACACACGTATGCAGGAAAACACCCTAACCACCACTCACAGCACTCCTACAATGTGCCAAAACTCCATACCTGCACTACATGTGCTCCATCCTCACGACTCTGAGACAGGCGCCACTACCATCCCCCGTGTGTAACTGGCCCACAGTCAGTCAGTAGACGGTGGGTCCAGGATCTGAACCCAGGCTACCTGGCTCTACTCTCCACTCTCACTCCAAGGTCAACACCAAAATGCTAGCCCTACTTATCCCTAGGTAGGAGAATTAGAAGTAACTATTAGAAGTAACTATTCAGTTTATTTAATACACAGTATTTTTCTGTATCTACCAAACTTTGAGCTCACTAAAACCAATCCAAATAGACTGAAATCACTTCCCTTTCTGACAGGATTGAAAGGAAGTAGCACAGAAACCATGAACAAACATTGCAGTGACCTGGTTCCCTTGGGAGACCAGCAGGGCACCCAAGATGCTCCTGAGAACAAAGCACCTTTCCCCAAAGGGCCTCTAGGAGACCAGGCTGTTTCCCGGGGCCACACCCTCACTGCTGCACGAGAGCAGCCTCCACACTACTGACATCGGGGTCGGGTAATTCTCTGTTGAGGAAGGCTCTTCTGTGCACCACGGGACATTCTGGAGCACCCTTGGCCTCTACCTACTAGAAACTAGTAGCACACCACCTCCCTCTCCACCGGCTGTGACAACTAAAAGTGTCTCCAGACATTGCCCAATGCCCCCTGGGAGGCAAAATCATTCCT